TGAAGAATACTACATACATGTACAGTAACTAAAATTTAGTACAGTGTCATTTGTACAACAACCCCCACTTGACCCTTTGGCTATCATTGACCCCCTGGGACTCATCGCCAACCCCTAGGGGGTCGTTCAGACCCTGTTTGATAACCCCTGTTTTATCCCTACAGGCAGTGAATCTGAAATAGAAATATGAAAAAACTGAAATGAGGAAACTTCAAACATCAAATCTGAAACAAAGCTATTAAGTAGACTATTTTTATTCAGACTATTGTCCCCATCTTTGTTGTTGTTATCACAACATTGCGGCCCTTATGCCCTTCAGCTTACCTCAGGTGTATAGCAATCTGGGTAAATTACAGGGAATTTCGAACTGAACCCTTTATTTAATCTGTGAGGGTAGACTGTTCTCATTCCACTGCTTATGTCTAGTGACATCTCTCATTCTTATTTCTTAGTTCTGCTTAGTTATTACTAGCCCATTTCTAATGTGTCCAAGTACAGACTTCCTGACCTAGGGATTGAACTCACAATCACTATGTCACCAAATAACAACAAAGATGAGGACAATAGTCCGAATATAAATAATGACAATAGTCATAACTCTTTATCCTAGAAATTCAGACAGAAAAAAAGCTATTAAATTTTCAAAGTACCAAATTAGAAATGAACCGATGCACCTTAACTACAAGAAATGAATAAAAGGAGGTCAATAAGTGCATAAGATGATACAGATATGAGCTGAACTTTGATCTGAAATATTTAATGTATAATGTTTGATCTATGAGATTAAAAGAGAATTTGCTGATTAATGTCATTGGATATCTTGTACATATTAAATGTTGAGGCTTTTAAGATTAGCATAATCCTTTTAACTCCCACATTTAAAGTATATAATGACAGTGCATCAGTAATTTCATAGCATGACATATAGTTATTCTTATTATGTACCAAGATCCTTCAGGATGTGAGAAATCATGACTCTCTACAACTTCCTATCCTTTGTAGCTCGTATGTTTGTTTTTTTACTATCTTCTCACTCCCAGTTCTATCATCCATTTACAAAAGCTTGTTAGGTTAGTTCAGTGTTTCTCAACCTTTTTAAGCAATGGCACACCAACAAGCTAATGAAAATATCACGGTACACTTTGCAAAATTTTAAAGGGTATACATTTAAATGTTATAAAATAAAACATTTAAAAAAAATATACGCACACAAATATGAACTAATTTATTTCATTGTTTCTATTCAATTACTTGTGCAGCTTATTTAGTGCAAAATCCGTGCCTGGTGCTTTTTTGCGATTTCTTCAATGTTTGATCAAATATGCGACAAACAGACCCTCATTTCTTCTTTAGTTGAGCATGGTTTTTCTCATTTTTCATTTTTGATGTTATTTAGGGTTGAGAAGCTTAATTCACATAAATAAGAAGTAGAAAATTGCAATAAAACTGATAAAGCCTTTTTAGCTAATGTGGGAGATTTTTTTTGTATTGAAATTCCAAATGTATCAAAATTTCAAATTAAACAAAGAATGTTGAATACAATTATATGAAACAAAGGTTAATATTCATTTATTCAAATAAAGGAAAATTTTAAATGTTAAATTAAAAAATAAAAATATATTTTTAAAAAATGAATATTAAAACAAAGTATATAAAACAACATAATCACAGAATAATGAAAAGAATAATTTGAAAGAAAGTTTAATACATATTCATTTATTCAAATACTAATGCTGTAACATAACTACTTCCACACATATGTATATATGTATATTGTGACAAATATTTTGTGGCACACTTGGGAGAATCACATGGTACACTAGTGTACCCCAACACAACAGTTGAAAATCACTTGTTTAGTTGCTGTTTCCCTCTGTCCATCTTTCCTTCAATATGTCTGGTGGGTATCAAATTCTCCAACCCATCTTTCCTTATTTTAACTTTCTATTTCTGATTCTAAGTATATATATGTCATTTTGTTCACATTTCTGTTGCTTCAAGTCACTTTTTCATCTATTAGGAAATTGTCCAGCATTCACTGCTATATAGGAGGATTTATATTACATAGTTGATTTTTTTTGTTTCTAATGAAATTTTCATTTCTTAATAGTTTGTATAGATTTTGGAAGGCATCTTCAGCTTATACAATATACCTTCAGATTTTGGACATATTTTCAATCATCTGTGAAAAGATTTTTCAGATATTTAAATTTCTATGCTGGCTTGATTTTGAGATCTTCAATTCATAGTTTTTATTTGGAGTGTCCTTTTTACTTATGACCATACAATTGATGGTAAGTCCTTCCTTCCTTCCTACTTTCCTTTATTACTTTGTTTAGGGCTCCTGTAGTTTTGTTTTCTTGTATCCACCAGGAATATGGTGTCATATTCATATCTTATGCTATAATAATAAATCCTGATTAGACTTCTAGTTTTCTTGGTTTCTTGTAAAGTTTAAATAAATCGAGTGTGAAAATACATCCTTCTCTTACATTCCTTTCATTTTTAGAAACTTACTAATTTTGATCTGAGTTTTTCCTTGTATAATTTTTAATTCACCCTTGAATTAAGTGCATTGAGAAAGAAGCAGATTATATACAAAAAATAAATATTTCTTATGTAAAGACAACAAAGACAAATTAATCCTACAATCAAAAGTAATCTGTGTTTAACTGGAGTGAGGAATTCACACCTCCAAAAATCTATTTTCATTTAATCATGATAGAGAACCTTTTCTGCCTTCCATCAACATGGCTGATGCTAACCTCTGGGAGAACAACTCTTTATACCTTCCTGGGGTTTCATATTTACCACTGACATGAAGTAGAGTGATTATATTGAATCAGAATCTAGGTCTTCTGCTAGGAAATTTGGTTAACTGTGTCGTGCCAGACAAGTTTACTTGCCAGAATCCATCTTGCACATTTATAAATCTATCATTCCTCTATGCATTGAAAATTGATGCCATATTTGGTCTGGTACTCCTGATATATATATATATATATATATATATATATATATATATATATATATTAAAGAAAGAGAGAGGTGTTACAAACGTTTTTGGTTGTAATGTGGATTTTTAAAAAAAAAATATTATGCTTTATTTTCCATAATTTTACTACACGTGTTTCTGGTCTCGCGACCGTCTTCAGATTTCCACATATTATTAAAAATAATTCAAGAAAGACATTCAGATTACTAACACGAAAACAGAGAATGTCTCATATCGAGAATATTTAACATTGAAAAACATAAGGAAAAAATTAATTATTTTTAATAATATGTGGAAATCTCTAACTTTTACCTTTTTTAGATGGTCTCAAGACCAGAAACACATGTAGTAAAATTATGGAAAATAAAGCATAATATTTCTTTTTTAAAAAATCAGCATTACAACCAAAAAACGTTTTTTCTCTTTCTTCTTTTAAATACACACTTTTCTCTCGTTGGAACCACTATAACCTCTTTCTTTTTTATATATATATATATATATATATGTGTGTATATATGTGTATATATTTATATATATCATATCTATTAGATATATATATATATATATATATATATATATATAGGATATATATATATATATATATATATATATATATGATATATATATTTGATATATATATATATATGATATATATGATGTATATATATATATATATATATATATATATATATATATATATATATATATATATATATATATATTTATGATATCTATATATGTATATAATGATAACAATAATAACTGGCCACTGATATTCGAGGATACCCGTCTACTAGGGCGGCTAGCCAATCCCTATTGCAGACTCTTGTTTAGGCACATTTGTGTTTGTTCAACACCCACAGAGCCAACCTGTGGTCTATACTGAAACTATGCTTAGTTCCAGTTTCTGAGAGACAGTGTGTTATCTAGAATGAGCAACAATCTGAACAACACCAGCATAGTCAAACCCTTGGTCACAATGTCTTGTGACTTCATGCTAGCACAGCTATCAATGGCGCCAACTGTTCCATCTACCCAATTTTATGCAGAAGGCTTGTGTCAACCTGTGGTATGGTTTTCAGGCACTTTCACAAGGTGCTGCATGCTGGGATCATCCTCTCTCCAGACCAATAATATCAGAAAGTCTCTTTCCTGACAAATCAAACTAGGTGAGATTCAAACTTTCTAACCACTCAGCCACACGCCCACACACACACACATATATATATATATATATATATATATATATATATGTGTGTGTGTGTGTGTGTGTGTGTGTGATGATCCAGAGTCCCATAACTCATCATAGTTATAGGGGAACCACATGTACTGCAGTCAATTTAGAAGTTGTGTGTCTTGGGCAAGATAGCCTGATGGAATTCAACCCTCTTCAGGCTGTTTTGAATCCAGACTTTTCCTTCTCCTTCTTCTAGACTGGTTGCCACCCAAGGCTATAGAACCTGGTCTGTTCTGCTATTTACCCATAGCTAGGTGGAGAAGAGATGGATTCATACCTTTCCAAAGAGCATGTAAGTGAATGTAATGAACTTGCCTCCCTGAATTAAGTGCATTGACATGTTGAAAAATAAATGTATATTTTGTCTATTAAATGCTTTTTCATCATGAGGCTTTTGACTTATTGATTTACCTACATATAATTTTACACCACACTGACTTCTAGATATATGATTACGTTGAACTAAGCAAATTTTTTTTTCTTGAAATACGTCCTTTTCTTTTTTTAAACCCACATTAAAGTGCTTTATTTTTTTGAATCCCTACAGTTTTGAAATGTTGTAAGATGGTGTTCTGCTAAAAGGATGCTGATAGGTGCTAAGCCATGCCAAGAGGTGACCTGGAATGATGGAAAGTTAATGCATTCGATTCCTGAGGGATCTGAAGTACTTAGAGACTTACTAGTTCCTTATTTTTATAAGAAAGTACAGCAGAAAGAAAAATCAGTGCTGACCTGTGTGCAAAATATGAAAGAAAGAAAGAAAGATCATCATATGGAAAAAATGAAAGGTATGCTCAGAGAGAGGAAGAAAAAAAAGAAAGAAAAATAAAAAAGGGAAAATGAAAGAAAGAACGAAAGAAAGAAAATATGCTCAAACAAAGAAGGAAAGAAATAAGAAAGGAACATGGCTGTAAATAAAGAAAAAAATAAAAAAATATGGAAAAGATATGCAGACAGAGAAAGAAGCAAAAAGTAAGAAAAAATAATAAAAGAAATATGATGGGAAGGTAGAATTAACAAAAGGAAGACAGATTTACAGAAAAAAAATGTTCAAAATTAAAGTCATGTCCAGAGAATGTAAGAAAAAAAATGAAAGAAAGCAAAAAAAGGGAACCCTTATGTAAATAAAGAAAAACAAAAGAGAGATATGGAAAATGAAAGATATACCCAAAGGCAGAAACCAACAAAAAAATGAAAAAGAAAATGATGCAAAGAAAGAAAGAAACAATGTGCAGTAAATGAAAAATAAACACAAAGAAAGAAAAAAAGAATGAAAACACAAATGAAAGGAAAACTGGGGGTAAAAAAAAAAGGTTGAAAATGAGAAGTAAATGCAAACATAGAGACAAAGATAAAAACAGAAAGTAAATTTGATGAAGAAAATGATAAAAGAAAGAAAGAAATTGCAAAAAAAAATAAAGAAATATTTGCAGGAACATGGGGAAAAAGAAGAGATAAATAAACAAAGGAAAGAGAATATAAAATAAAGAAAAACAAAATAATGGTGTAAAAAAAGTTTTATGAAAAAATGAAAGAACAATATTCAGAAACAAAGTTTAAAATAAAGAAAAAACGTCGTGTAGCATTGATAAAAGATACCAAAAAATAGACCATGAAACTAACAAAATGGTAAGTGAATTCAAAGAGAAAGCAGCTAAGATCTCACCATTGGACAAGAAAATATTATCAAAATGCTTCATGGATATATTTTGCCAGTATAAATTTCATATAACAGGTCTCCATACAACACATACACACATCTAGATAGATAGATAGATAGATAGATAGATAGATAGATAGATAGATAGATAGATAGATAGATAGATAGGAGTAGATAAAGACATTAATGATGCCTTCCAATTCCCTGTTAGTTCTTTAAGGGAAAACTGGAAGCACTAGCAGGAAGGCCCAGCCCCCAATTTTCTGCTTGGAGAAGCTTATGTCAGTTCTATGTCAGATAAGCAGATCAGGCATTTAATCCTTCTACCCTCAAGGAATTTTGCAAATGTGAAGCATGAATGTGTAATCATATACAATATACCTACTTACTCAATCATTCAAACATCTTTGCCTTCTTGTCTCTTCCTTGCCTAATTTAACATAATACCGGAGATATATACCAATTGATACAAAGGTATAGTTCTTGGAAGCACTTGCCTAAATGCAAGGCAAAGGAAAAAGAAAATGAAATTGTCCATTTCCACCCAATAAAATGTAATGTTTCACTTGTCAAAAAAAATCATAAGTAGTTCCTAAATGTTGATCTATTGTGTGAAAGTTCATAAAAATGCAAAATAGTTGCAACAGAATGTAACTTAATTTCTATTATGAGGTTATGTAATACAATACTATGTTAAAAAATAGACTACAGTACTAAATGACATGAATAATCATAGCTCTCCACAACTTTCTACCCTTTGTAGCATTTAGTAATGTTTTTCTTTTTACCATTCTTTCCAGCAGATGTCAATATCAAACAAGTGCAGAAGTTTAAATATCTGGGATGGAAAAATGTGACACTGAATTCCAAAGGTGCATTAGAAAAGTGAAAAACACTTTCCAAAATCTTTTCTTTTTTTTTAAGCATTTCACCCCAAGCAAGGTGGGAGCAAGAGTAAAGAGACGTGATAGAGGAAAGAATGAAGAGAAGGACAGGGAATAGATCTAGGCATCTGAAGACATTGATTGACATTGCATTTGTATATTTGGAGATTATAGCTATCAGGGAAACAAGTAAGAGGAAGGGAGTTCCACAGATGGAAAGTATGAGACTGGAATAGAAGAGATGGTTACATTTAACAGTTTTGATTAGAAATAAAGAAAAGAGTGCTGTAATATTGGTCCCATTAAGTGACTGCTGAACAATCTCACCACACATGTTATGAGACAGCAGAAATGTAGTTCTACAGAAGGATACTGAGAATACCCTGGATGAAACATGAGAGCAATGGTGAAGTTTTAGAAAAAATGGAAATAAGAAAGCACACCTCTAGAATCAGAAAGAGAAAATTTTTAGGTTACATAATGAAGAAAAAGGGTTTGGAAAATGTGACAATCACAAGACATATTAAAGGCAAGAGGGACAGAGACAGAGGAAAGTGGTGAATAACCTACCTGATGATCTTGTGTAAATGGTTATCAGAACAGGGAGTGTGAGAGTTGATTGGTTGATTTTGTTTAGCACCATATCAATGTATATGAGTCATTTAATGCTGAAATCTAAATATTTTGAACACAATGGCTTCAGCTAAATATATTCTGAACAATGGCATGCCTTTAACTACAAATAAAACGTATTGTTCGTAATTCTACTATAAAATGTATTTATTGGTCATTTTGCTATAAATATGTATTGTTAGTAATTTTATTATAAAAATGTATTTTTATACTTTCATAGCGTTTTTTGTTTGAGAGTTCACTATTTGCCCATAGCTGGGACCTTAGCAGGTGCTACCATGCTAGGTCAGGATGGATCTGGGAACAACAGGGATTAAAAGGTGTTTCTACACTCCTCAAAATCTCCAATCTCCCAATCAAAAACCTTACTGCCTGATGTAGTTTATTGTCATACCCAGGACTAACGGAGTGGGAGAGATAGTAAAAAACACACATGGCTAGGAGTGACAAAGGAGGGGAAGTTGTGGAGAACCATAAACACCTACATCCTGAAGATCACTTGTTCTGGAAATTAATTACAATGCACCTTCGGATTTTTATGCTATGTTTTTCCATCATCTGTTAAAACAAGAGATTTAATATATAATTATACAGACTCAGCATTGATTTTAAAGCTACCAGTACTTCCATAGCTCATTTCTTTGTTTTGTTTTTTCCTGAGCTCTTAGTTTTGCTTTCTCGTATTTTTCTTCTTTTGTTGTTTCAAAATTTCAGTAAATATGGTACATATATATATATATACACATTATGAAATAAAGAAAGTCCGACAATTATTTTAAGACATTTTTATGTTTATACATTCTTTTTATAGATACAAATATTTAAGTAAATATGGTATATATATATATATATATATATATATATATATATATATATATACCCAAGTATATAATTGTGTATATGGAATGAATTCTAATAACCAACAATTACTATTCTTAAAAAAAGTGCTCAATACAGAGTAGAGCAGATATAATTATTTATTTAAAAAGATTATAACATAAATATGTTATAAAATTGCTACAAAAATAGCCATTTTGTTTCAACAACTCCTGTGTCTTATCAAGTGATGATGTTGAATGTAAAATAATTATTTAATTAAAATAATTATTTTACACCAGAGGTGTTGAAACAAAATGGCTATTTTTGTAGTGATTTTATAACATATTTATGTTATAATTTTTTTTAAATAAATAATTATATATATATATATATATATATATATATATATATACCATATTTACTGAAATTTTACAGGTAATAATCTTTCAGGGGAGTACACTTAATTTGACTGCAATAATTATTAATTCTGTAGTGAAAGAGCCATTCAAATTTTCCTACATATTGTTTCTGGCATACTGTGCATTCTAGGAGGTAAATTATGTTATGACTTCTACAGTTAAAGTCATGGTAGATTTTGAAAGTAGATTTAGTGACTGAGCTAGTGAATGAATTTGTGTGTCTAATTGTCTAATGTGGTTGCAGCATAAGCTCCTTTCATTGTTACATGGTTGGGAAAATCCTGTTGTTTTTGTTTTCGGTTTATTACAGATTACCTTGTCCCCTGAAATGTGGTTACTACCTATGATTTCCTTTAGGTCCTTAGGTCTACGATATGCTAGAAGGCCGGGTTATATATATATATATATATATATATATATATATATATATATATATATATATATATAATGAACTCTCCCATCAATTTCAATATATATATTCAATAACTAAATCAGTTCAAGTGTTCATACCTACCAAGAAAGTTGACTCATGCCAAGTGATTTGCAGACAACTGTCACAAGTAAGTGTTTCAAGATAAGGTGGCTAGTAATGATAATGAGACTTTTGTCCTTTCACTTGCTTCCCTCAGGCATTGGAGAGAGCCAGTTTCAAAGTCAGTGATGCCATTGAAACAACTTGTTCTCCACTCCTTATTATTTGAGGCCACCTGCTCAAAGGTCTTATACTGGATGTTGACAGTCAAAAAATTACTCTTCAGCTTGTCTTTAAACTTGAGCAATAGCCAAGCATTGTTCCTTTTCCAGAAAGAAACTAGTTATGTATGCATATTATATACATGCTTTTGTGTTTCATTCACATGACATAGCCCACTCCAATTTGGATTGCATGAGAAAAACCCCAATAATCACTCACTTAAATCAATTATGGAGAAAAATTTATTATTATTATTATTAGACCTCACACCAATTCGTATTTAAATATACTACCTCTATTTCAATGCTAAATACATTTATCTTAAGATTATATACATACATCATCTGCTACAACAGTTTCACCTATTGGATGTTCTGGCTGGATCAGAAAAAATATCAATACCTCACCAGAACAGAAGTAGAATATTTAAATACAATATAGTGTAAGGTATAATAATAATCAAACCAGTCTGAAGATCCTAAAGGTGAAACTTTAGTAGTGGTTGAGGTATTATATATATATATATATATATATATATATATATATATATATATATATATATAATATTGCACATTTAGTGCTAGTGCTAATAAAATAGTGTTTGATGCATGACAGAAGTATACTTTATACTAATAACAGATATACTTTTTTCTTTTTATGTACAATGCAGTCATCAGTTTTCAGTCAGCACCTGACAACTGCATTGTGCATTGAACTCAAAGTATATCAAGGATGGGAAGTTGTGGAGAACATATATTAATGGATGTCTGAGGATATATATATATATATATATATATATATATATAGGTAATTATTTAAGAAAAATATTTGATAATCTGTATGCATAATCCCAAGGAGGATGTAATCCAGAGAGCTCAATGTAAAAACAGAGGAAAATAAACTATAATCCTATGAACCCTTAAAATTTTCTGTTTCTTAATTTAACTTTTATGAAGTTGGTCCTTGATCTAAGCTTTTGGCTCACATGAGCCATCTTCAGAGAGGTTATATGGACATTTTAACAAAGATATTCACCATGAAAGATAATATTTTATGATATTTTGTTATGTTGACATAGAAGATTGCTATGTGATAATAATGGCTGCAGAATATCAGATGCAGTTCATAGGTTCAAGATGCAGTTCTATGACGTCATACTATGCGAGAGGCCAAAATATTAACAACAGAACCATAAGTCTAGATGCAATTTAATGTGTTGTGACTAGTTTGAAATGTAATTTTGTTGAGTGTGGGTTGTTTTGTTTTAATGTAGTTAGCCTCTAATATCTGAAGGTTCTTTTTACTGTGTGTTGTTTGAGTATTATTGTGTTATCAACTAATATCTGTCTAATATTATGTACATCCATATATATATATATATATATATATATATATATATATTGCTGATTGATTCTATGTATGATTATTTTTTTATATATATATATATATATATATATATATATATATATATATATATATATATGAGATAATAATATATATTTTTATATATCAAGTACAACAATGGGGAAAATGTATGACAAAGTAGAAAACATTTACATGTGATGCAGTCATATGACGTCCTGATGGACGAAACATGTCACAAGGAAACTTTTTCCAATTTGTCGTACATTCTTACCCAATATAGTTAAATTTAATTTTATGTGGAATTTCCTTCTTTATAACAAAAATTATAATAAAAAAAATCTGATTAGTATTTAGGTTGGTGACTGTATTTGAACACCAGGTGCTGTAAATGACTTGTCC